CGTAAACATACGGGTGCCCCACCGGGGGACTCAAGATAATGTAATAAAAAGTTCAAAGCATATTATTCGGTTTCGTGAGAGTCTATCTTTTATTTCTGCCGTTGCAGATAACATCTTGAACATTTTGAGTAATGCAAACTAGTAACATTATTACCTCGGCTAATGAACCGAATCCGATTAGACGATTAATTACCTCGGCTAATGAACCGAATCCGATTAGACCATGTTCTATCGCTATCTGCGCTAGCCGTCCCTAACTTAGCAGTGAAAGACTAGAAGGAAGGCAGCTAGTCATCACCACCCACCACCAACTCTTGGGCTATTCTTTTACCAACGAATAGTGGGATTGACAGTCACATTATAACACCCCCACGGCATGTTTGGTGGATTCGAACCCGCGACCATCATATTGCGAATCAAACGCTCTAACCACTTGGCCATGATTTTTGGAAAAATTAATATGCGTTTTAATTGAAATCATTATCCGAAAATAATTTTCTGCAAGAAATTCACTTACAGGTGATCTCAGTTCGTTAGTAACCCATAAAGCTCAGGGCAGGTGGTTAAAGTATGTTATTCATACGGTTACATTGTGTTCCATATACATGTGAAATAGTTTTAACAAGCTTTTAACTTCAAGACACATCTTATATAATTTATTATTGTTTTCCAAATAGTCATAAAAGTTACAGTAATCACATTTTATAATCTAATCGTGACTTTCGTGGCAGATTTATTTATGCATTTTTCTGGAAAATGTTTCATTAGCAATGTCTTAACGATAGTATACTTCTACTTTATTTATCTGTGCGAAACATATTACAAGGATGAAAAAGCACAGGTTTGGTTTTTACATTGAACTAGGAACATAATCTATGGTCTGTTTAAAGTAGATGATCATTTAGTTTCCACATATGACAAATTGAACTAGGAACATAATCTATGATCTGTTTAAATTAGATGATCATTTAGTTCCACATATGACAAATTGAACTAGGAACATAATCTATGATCTGTTTAAATTAGATGATCATTTAGTTTCCACATATGACAAATTGAACTAGGAACATAATCTATGGTCTGTTTAAAGTAGATGATCATTTAGTTTCCACATATGACAAATTGAACTAGGAACATAATCTATGGTCTGTTTAAAGTAGATGATCATTTAGTTTCCACATATGACAAATTGAACTAGGAACATAATCTATGGTCTGTTTAAAGTAGATGATCATTTAGTTTCCACATATGACAAATTGAACTAGGAACATAATCTATGGTCTGTTTAAAGTAGATGATCATTTAGTTTCCACATATGACAAATTGAACTAGAAACATAATCTATGGTCTGTTTAAAGTAGATGATTATTTAGTTTCCACATATGACAAATTGAACTAGAAACATAATCTATGGTCTGTTTAAAGTAGATGATCATTTAGTTTCCACAAATGACAAATTAAAATATATGCATATTTCATTGAATTAAAATAGCTTTGTACCACAATTACAAAAAATTCATTGCTTAATTTAGAAACATTTCTCATTCGTCTTTTACGGAACCACGTGTTTAAAGACTCTGCACGATTCAAAGTTTATGCGTCATTTTGAAACATCATGAAACCCAATTATTAGAATAGTTTCTTTATTGTACTGAAAACTACCAGAAAATACGAAAATAAATGAAAGAAAAACGTAGCAATGAAATGAAATATATATTTACTGTATTGTGTATTTTGAAAAGATTTACATAAAATATCATTTAAAAATGATTAGAATTATTAAAACTTATGATAATTATAAATATTTCATATGAGCATTTAGGTTCTTTCTAATATTCAAATATGGCGAAAACGTGAAATTAGATAGGGTTCTAAGCCCAAAAGTTATATATAGGTCTAGCTGTTCCCGAGCTCATGACTAGGAGCAGTCACACGTTCTGTTACTAAAGTAATGTTGGCATTAAAATAAAAGTTGATTAAATTTATGGAAAATAAATGGATCAATTCGCATTGATTAAATGAGATTAAAATGAAAAGATAAAAAAAAAACTTGCTTTGAGAAACGCGAGTTTTATAAAAGTAGTCGAAAATAAGTAAGTCTATTGTGCAAATTTCTGGTCAATAAAAAAAATCTGTGAAAGAGAAAATATCTCATTAATTTTACAAGGAATGGTTAATCCAATTTTTGTTTTTCAGCAAAGACTTTCTCATTTGAAGAAATCACACGAAGCAGTTAGATTATTAGATAGCACAAACAGACACATACAATAAACTTTGTATTTCTGCAACAAGATTAGTAAGATAGCTTTATATGTTTCTTTTTCCATTTTTCTTAAAAACGTATATATCTCTTAATTTAACAATATAGATTAATGTCGACTAGAAAATAACAAGATAGTTACTCAAGATCACCTATGGTATTAAAATTGTTCTACTGGCATTTTTTTTAAAGTTAGTTAAATAGTTAAGTTTAGTTTACTGGCTCAGCATATACGAAAAGCTCATAACGTAATGCTAATAAACTTTCACAAACAAATCTAACTTTATATATATATATATATAGTGTCAAGACTTTACTATATTAGTAAGAGCTTATTATAAAAAGAATATCATGTAAAAATAAAAATAGAAACATAATGTATACAATCATTGTAGCAAAACATGTGACTTTTATCAGCAAATAAAAACAAAATACTTGGCATCTCTTATTTAATGTTATAGACAGGGATATTGAATTATAATACAAAATAGGCCGGCTGTGGCCTACTTGTTAAAGTTCCCCGGACTATAAATTATAGGATTCACGGTTTTGGTGTGTTTTAGGAATGACAGTCAAATCCCATTGTTGTATCAGGGAAGAGTTATCTAAGAGTTGGAGGCGGGTGTTTTCACTGTTTGCCTTTCCTCTGGTTTATTAATTTAAAATGAATGGTAGCTTTGCGTAGATTGCCTTCGTGTAGGCTTGTGCGAAATTCTGAAACAAACAAACAAAACATTATGCAAAAAAAACAAAAAACATTTTATTATGTAGACCCATAATTACGCAAGCAACCGTGAATGAGTAAGACCACGTTTCGGCAATTTCCCTTCCAGTAACTATTTACAACTTTTAATGTGAAAAAAAAAAAGATGAATTAAACAATGGGATTTACATAAATCTGACTTCTAACAATGAAATTACTGAATAATTGATAAGGCAGCACTATCTTAGTGTTACAATGTTCATATTCTTACTTTGTTTGTTTTAGGGCAAAGCCACACTGAGCTATCTGCTATGATGTACAGGCGACGTTATTTATTATCGCTTTGTGTGTTATGAATACAAGAATAATTTGAACTATATTACTATACTATGTCATGATATAAACATATTTTACTAGTCAACAATTTTTGATCTTGACACCTACGTACATGATTGTTTCTTTGTTGTCAAGCAAAAGCTAAGCGATGGGCTATTTTTGTTGGGTCCCCCACTGGCGGCCCGGCATAGCCAGATGGTTAGGGCGCTCGACTCGCAATCTGAGGGTCGCGGGTTCGAATCCCTGTCCCATCAAACATAAACATGCTTGTCCTTTCAGCCGTGGGGGTGTTATAATGTTACGGTCAATTCCACTATTCGTTCGTAAAAGAGTATCCCAAAGTTGGCGGTGGGTGGTGATGACTAGCTGCCTTCCCTCTAGTCTTACCCTGCTAAATTAGGAACTGCTAGCGCAGATAGCCCTCGTGTAGCTTTGCAAGAAATTCAAAACATACAAACAAACAAACACACCAACCACCATTATGAACAATGGACACCAACAGCAGCTTACATAAGCAAATTGTAAATACCGTAGGAAGTTATACGTATTCCGTACTATTGCCCTCCAGTGGCACAGCGGTATGTCTGCGAACTTACAACGCTAGGAACCGTGTTTCGATACCCGTGGTTGGCAGAGCACAGATAGCCCATTGCGTGGCTTTGTGCTTAGCTTCAAACAAATCCATACTAGTATTGTCGTTTGACCGGGGAGCACTTAATACTTGCAATTGCTTGTGTTCGCTTTATTTTTTACACTTTGTATACATTTTGATATTAAATGGAACAATACTGTTCTGTTATCTTGAAAGTAATAAATGAACGTGCACATGTAAATAGGCTGTTTTATTAGTTTCTGTGTATAAAGTGAGTTAAATGAATGTAACATTTCTTCTTAAAACATTACATTGTTCCAATACAAGAGAATGTAGTGGAAGAAGAAGGCATCGGTGATGTATTCAGGTTAACTCTGTCAGGCTCAAGAAGCTACGACAATTTTGAACTGAGGTCTTTTGAAAGAGAAGAATATTTCAAAATCGGTTTATAGGCCTGTGTAGAAGACTATTCACAGACTAACCAGAACAAACCGATGGATCAAAAAAAATCTCCTAACTTTTCTCTAAAACAAGAAAAATAAGAGAAAATTACCCACCCGATTGAGGCTTCTTCCATACGCTGCACATTTTAGCTCTGAGAACAGCGCATGTGGCTGAAGAGGAGTTAAACATGTAGTTTGTTGCCAGCAAGCCTTTTCTAATGCAGGGTTTGGAGAAATCGTCTTTCGTGACGTTCTCAAATCTCTCAGAGGGAATCAATATACCGTGATAAGAGCGAACGTGGTAGTTTGACTTATTTCAACAAGAATCCCAAGCAACTTTGCTCGAGAGAGAGGTACCGATAGTGCTATGTTAAAATAAACTAAGATTTCTGATATGAATTATACACGTATTGTTGAATACAATAAGTATACATTTTATAGTATAAATCATATTGATATACAAATACACATTAAATGATATTGAAGATACTGTTAAACAAAACAAAAAAAAACATAAATGCACATTCACTATAGATATAGCGTTCACAGTTTTGTATATTTATTTTAACTGGTAAATAAAAGTGGTTTTTCTGATGGTCGAAAGCTCAATATTTACAAATAAATTTCGAAATTATAGACGCAAGATATACTGCTTAATATACTTACATGAAGGGTCATGTTAAACTTTAACGAGGCTTAAGGAAGGAGGCTTTATTAAAGTAAGAACCAATAATGAGGCCGCTTCTGTTGAACAGATAGCTCACATTAGAAACAAGACTATGAATAATCATTTCCACAAACTACGTTCTCAGTAAATAGAATGCTAACAACTCACGATGGCTAGTTAGGTTGTATTCAACTTATCAGCTGTAAGCGTTGAATCATCGAGTGATAATAACCTTGTAGGCGAAATGTGTCGTGAAACTTGGCACCATCTCGCAACAGAAATTAAACTATACAATTTGCATACAATGCTGTGTTAAAAGACAGTCAGTCATTTGTTCTGCTACCTATTATTCTGATATTTATCCTTTCCACACTCTGCTTTTTAACAAGTATTAGGTTTTCGTTATAATTTTCTTTTTATAAAAATTTTATAAAAGCCTTGACAAGTCATGGAAATATTTAAAATAATGATTATATCATACAATTCTTGTGGTTTTTAGAAAAAACAACAACTTTGAAACAAAAATTTAAATATCTTAAAACTCCAAACAAAATATCAAATGTAAAATAATAATTTATTATTTGAAGTTGATTAAGGAATCTGTACAGATTTTAAGCCACGCTTGTAAGACACGACTATTCAAAATTATTGATGAATCATATTTAAGGGCACTTGACTCGCAATCTGAGGCTCGCGGGATCGAATCCCCGTCACACCAAACATACTCACCCTTTCAACCGTGGAGGCGTTATAATGTGACGGTCAGTCCCACTATTCGTTGG